ACTTCCATTACTCCCTTTCCCTCCCGGGAGACCCGGCTTCCCGCCTTTATAGCCCTTGTGAAAAAAACAAAGTGCTTATAAAGCCGGGGCTTGAAAATATAGATCTTGACAAGCCAGAAGAAAGCCGCCCTGAAGGAAAGCCTCCAAATTAATCTGCGCTGCTTTCACCGAAGAGAATGGGATCCCTTTACATTCACTGTGGGGTTGCTGATCTTGTTTGGTGTATCATTTCAGGTCTCTTCATTTGAGATGACAGGCAAGAATGGGCTCCTTACTAGTCAGTTCAGCCTCTCTTTGTCAATTATAGTATTACTTTCAACAGGTTTTGTTTAACGGTCAGCACAGTCAACAGGGCATATCTTCTGGTCCGAAGATACCTGACCCAGCCATTACACAGGTAAGAAAGCAGACTCTTTGTCATCTCCTGAAGGATCCCAATACCCAGGAAGTAGGTGAAGTAGTCTAAACTGGTTTCACTTCCCAGCTTGCCTGTAACAAGATGAATCTGAGGCAGAGAGTTCCACTCACAGTCAGGAAGTTCTTCCTAAAGTTCAGGTGGAGTCTCCTTTCCCGTCTTTTGAACCCATGGCTCCATCGCATCCTAGTTGTTAGCTCATGTTCAACTTGTGGTCCACTAAGACTCCAAGATACTCTGCCACTTCATTCTGCTGAGCTTAGAGGATCGAAATGCTGACTGCCAAAAGCCAGGAAAGGCATTGCTTAGCCTTTAAAGGAAAAGGCTGAGTTAGTTAGGCAAGCTATCTATAAAACAGTCTTTCCAAGCTCGTTCCTTTCTTGCAAACCGACACTCCAAAATCTCTGTGTGGCATCATTTGGTGTTCCTTACTCTGACTCTTCCTGGGAGCCCGAGAGGAGAGGGTCTTCTTCTCTGGCGGTTTTTAAGCAGAGGCTGTACAGCCATCTGTTGGGAGGGCTCTGATTGTGTCTTCCTGCCTAGGAAAATGGAGTTGGATTGAACGATCCTGGGATGTCTTCCAACCCCAAGGACACAAGGAAAACAGGATTCTAATGTCCATCTATTTCTGGAAAGACTTCAGCTATTTTCCTATTACTTTTTGTGCTTTGGCACCAGAGTGCCTCAGCCATGCTTCTCCTCTTGCTTCCTCCCCACCCCACCCCCCCCCATGTCAGGAGTAACTTGAGAAACTGCAAGTTACTTTTGCTGCGAGAGAATTGGCCGTCTGTAGAGATGTTGCCCAGGGAGCACCTGGATGTTTGATGTTTTACCATCCTTGTGGGAGGCTTCTCTCATGTCTCCGTATGGGGAGCTGGAACTGACAGAGGGAGCTCAACCCGCTCTCCTTGGATTCGAACCATTGACCTGTTGGTCATCAGTCCTCCCGGCACAAGGGTTTAACCCACTGCACCACCAAGGGCTCCTCTTGTTGATAGCCATTATAATTTCATTCCCTTCTCGCCATTACTCCAACCTGAGTCCAACAACCTTCACAGGCTGTTTTTCCAATGCACTTCTAGCATTCTAACTGGATCTATCAGTGGTGTCCTCTTTGCCGCAGGTTAGTTTGGTAATTCTGGAGCATACAGAAATGAAACAGATAGAAGAAAGAGGAAGGAATGGTGGATTCCAATGACTACTCAGAGATCGACAGGGGAAGCTTTTCTCTCAGTCCCACCACCTTCTCAAGTGCGGATGGGGAGGACGAGAGAGAGGGCCTTCTCTGTGGTGGCACCATGGCTCTAAACCCAAGAGAGATTAGATTAGCCCCCACCCTTCAATCCATTCCAACATGAAAACATGATGTTCAGACAGGCCTTTGACCTTGAGTAGGCTGAATGGGCCCATATGAAGCTGACACTTGGCACCTTGTGAATTGACTGCAGTTAGATTAATCTACTGTTGCTTTAAAATTGCATTATTTTTATTTTATGTACATGTGTTGATGTTAAAATCCAATGTTATAATTTTATGTGACCTGTTTTATACTTTTGTATTGTTTTTACCTGTAATTTGTTATATGTGCACCCTGGAGTGCCTTGTGAGCCGCCCCGAGTCTCTTCGGGGAGATGGTGGCGAGATATAAATAAAGTTTATTATTATTCTGCTGCAGTGCTGCCTGTGACCTCCCTTTTTAAGGCTTAGGTTCAGAGTCTTTGAAGGCTGCACTAGATCTTTGTGAAGGCCATATCCGGCCTGTGGGCCACACGTTCTAGGCCCAGAACCGCTCTGATGGTTATTGACATCATTCACTCCACCATCAACTTGGCCAAGCCTGACAAGGACATGGTAATTTTCATCTCCATCAAAAATGCAGGGCCACTTTTTTTTCAGCAGGAAGAAAAAAAATAATATCTGGACATTTTATGTTTCCGAAACATCTGTGTTTATGCAAAAGATTCATATCGCTATGACAGTTTCTGGGATTTCAAGATATTCAGCTACTGTTTGACTGTAGTGGTAACAGATGTTTAATTATATTATTTCATTTTTTAGGTTTAGCACAACAAGCATAGATCACTGGTTATTTTCCGTAAAGTATAACTCCGGAAGGACGCCTCAGTGTACAGTAGTAGTTCTGGAGGATTTATTTCAGCCTCTGAGCAACCGATCTAAAACGGGAGCTGGGAAATTAGTGAGCGAGCGTTCGAACAAGTCTAATAGGATTTCTAGTTTGCCAAAAAAATAATGCTTTCAGAAGCACAATCTTTGGTGTAATCTCTCTCTCGCACAACAAGACAGATGGCATCATTAATTGCCTCTATATCTAATTAAGTTGGGGGGAGAACTAGGCTTAAGTAATGCTAAAGTTGTGGCACAAGCTGAGAAACGTTGGAAACTGCAAGGTAGAACAACTGGGTGACAGCAAATGGGAAGCAGGAGCAGTTTAGTGAATAATAAAAAGAACTGGGAAAGGGTTCCTTGTTGGCTGCAAAGGAGCAAGACCTTTGCTGTAAAAATATCATTGCTCCTTTACAAGAGAGTTTAGACTGTATTCATACTGGAACCAGCAACTACCCAAAGGCTCCACAGTCACCTACGGACCCACCACCAGAACACCAAACTTGGAGGACCATCATCCTCGGACTACGAGGGATCTCCTAAGTAAGTAAGTAAGTACTGGAGGACCTAGAGATTCCTAGAGAGAACACTTGTCCAGGAATCTTTAGACGCTCTGATGTGGTTCCATGGTTAACTTCCATTCTTAGAAAGGTGGTCTCTCAGGATCACTTTGTTGTTGTTGATTATTAGTTCAGTTGCTTCTGACTCTTCATGACCTCACGAACCAGCCCACACCAGAGCTCCATGTTGGCCGTGGCCACCCCCAGCTCCTTCAGAGTCAAGCCAGTCACTTCAAGGATGCCATCCATCCATCTTGCCCTTGTTCGGCCCCTCTTCCTTTTTCCTTCCATTTTCCTCAGCATCATTGCCTTTTCTAAGCTTTCCTGTCTTCTCATGATGTGGCCAAAGTACTTCATTTTTGCCTCTAATATCCTTCCCTCCAATAAGCAGTCGGGCTTTATTTCCTGGAGTATGGACTGGTTGGATCTCCTTGTGGTCCAAGGCACTCTCAGAATTTTCCTCCAACACCACAGTTCAAAAGCGTCTATCTTGCTTCGCTCAGCCTTCCTTATGGTCCAGCTCCTGCATCCATAGGCTACTACAGGGAATACCATTGCTTTACCTATGTAGATCATCGTTGCCAGTGTGATGTCTTTACTCTTCACTATTTTATCGAGATTGGTCATTGCTCTCCTCCCAAGAAGTAATCATCTTCTGATTTCCTGACTACATTCTGTGTCTGCAGTCATCTTTGCACCTAGAAATACAAAGTCTGTCACTGCTTCCACGTTTTCTCCCTCTATTTGCCAGTTATCAGTCTTGTGCCCAAAATCTTGTTTTTTTTTATGTTTAACTGCAACCCAGCTTTTGCACTTTCTTCTTTCACCTTGATTAGAAGGCCCTTCAGCTCCTCCTCGCTTTTGGCCATCAAAGTGGTATCATCTGCATATCTAAGGTTGTTAATGTTTCTTCCAGCAATTTTAGCCCCAGCCTTGCATTCCTCAAGACCCGCACATCGCATGATGTGTTCTGAACACAAGTTGAATAGGTCAGGATAGAGTATACAACCCTGCCGTACTCCTTTCCCAATTTTGAACCAGTCTGTTGTTCCATGGTCAGTTCTTACTGTTGCTACTTGCTCATTATACAGATTTCTCAGGAGACAGGATCACTTAAGTTAATTTTAAACCATGGATCATTTAGCTGATTTTAAATTTGCATTCTATTCTAATTTAACCTGTGTACCATGTATTTGAATATATGCTTGTTATAGTAATGCGTTTTTTGATATAGGCAACTTATTGTATGTATTTTATGATAGTGTGTTTTAACTGTGTTGTGTCCCACCTTGAGTCATGTGGAGAGGTGTGTAACATTATTATTATTATTATTATTATTATTATTATTATTATTATTAGATACACAACAAGATTAGTACCAAACATCAACATGTTTCTGTATAAACTGTAGGCCTTATCCTACAAATGTTTCACTGGCAACACAATTAAACCATTTCCCCATAGACCTAAATTGTAAAAAAAGCAGTTTTGTGCAAGTGCAGTTTTGTGCAAGTAACACTTTGGGATGGAGGAGGGACGTGAGCCAGGCATAGCATAGCCATTCCGGTTTGCTGGTTTCTTATTGAAACACAGCAACTTTTCCCTCTGGTCCCCCCTTCCATGGAACCCCATGGAGAACCAGCATGTCACCAAAATCAGTCTCAAAACAGATGACCAGGATCAGGAACAGATTATTTAGACACCAAACGTGACAAGTGGATGACTTGATCCTTATGGCTCCAAAGCTATGCTTGCAAATGCTCAATACTGCATTTCATCTAAGGATCAAGAATAATTAGCATGCCAATTGGGATCGAAGAGGAGAAGGCAGACCGAAGCCACTTTCCTCCTCCACCTGCTCTAAATCTTACTCTGCAGTGTCTCGGGAAGCAAAGGCTCACCTGCTGCCCCATGGTTTTGGGGTGGATGAAGGTGGCAAAGTCGATGGAGAAGTAGCCCACTACTCCCCGGTTCCGGCAGGCCTCTCCGATCCGGAAGCAGAGCGCATTCAGGACTTGGGGCTCAACTGAAGCCTGTGGGAGGGTGGTTCCTGAGGAGCGGAAGGGGCCATCGGCATGGAACTGGTCCCCGCAGGAAACCATCGTGATCGCTCCCGTTGGCTCTATCAGCATATCCACAGTGAGGTTGGTGATGCTGTCCGAGGGCGGGAAGGCCTCGATGATTCCACCTGGATGAGAGACATTTGCTGTTTAAGCAGAGCCTCTGTTCTTGGAGCAGGAGTTTGCCCCAGGGATGTTACTTGCAATCCTTCATTTATAGTCCTCATAAGTTGACTTGACAGCAAATCACAGTAAATATCTTACTGTACCAAAACCAAGACTGATTCCAGCCATCAACTCTATGGTACAATGAGCTACAGGCCACAAAAGCTGGTGCCAAATCAAATTGTATATTAAATAAATTGCACTTGCATGGGCCCTTTCATTCTACATGGTTATATCACCACGGTTCCTGTTTAACTGATGCAGCTGCAAAGTCATGGGATATGTAGTCTACTTAGAAACACTAGAAATTTTTGGCTGATATTTCTAAATAACACCATAAGGTAAAGGTAAAGGTGTTCTCCTGACATTAAGTCCAGTCATGTCCGACTCTGGAGAATGGTGCTCATCTCCATTTCTAAGCCGAAGAGCCGGCATTGTCTGTAGACACCTCCAAGGTCATGTGGCCAACATGACTGCATGGAGCACCGTTACCTTCCCACCAGAGCTGTACCTATTGATCTAGTCACCTTTGCATGTTTTCAAACTGCTATGTTGGCAGAAGCTGGGGCTGACAACGGGAACTCACACTGCTTCCCGGATTTGAACCTGCGACCTTTCAGTCCGCAAGTTTAACAGCTCAGCGGTTTAACGCACTGCACCATCGGGGGCTCCTAATACTATGCAACATGATTTTTGTTCGTGGGTTATAAATGCTATTTCCTAATTGGTTCTATCATGGGAAAGGTTTATTACCCTGCAAAAATTCTGACTTTGCAGGATGGACATCCTGCTATAGCACATGTTGCTCTAGTTTTTCAATGAATATCTCATGATAAGAGTCTTGGCCAATTTGAGTCCCCTTCAAGGGAGATAAAGCAGGATAAAAATAAATATAATAACATAGTTTGTACCAACTACAAAAACAAAGTTTTTGGGGTAGATCAACTACTTTCATAGTAAGTACCCCACAATTAAAGAGGAAATAACACTTTCAAACCAAGAACAGATTTCCCTCCCAAATTTTGTTACACAGTGTACCTAATCCTAGATGTACATCCTAGGAATCCATAGGAGGCAGTTATGGTAGGTGAAGGGCACCAAGATTATACAAACCAGCACGGAGCCTGACTCCCTCAAATGCCCATTTTCAGATTTTTAACATTTACTGCTATGAAGTTGTGCTTGAGAATGTCTAAGGGTGCCTCTACACCAGTAGTTTCCAACTTGTGGTCTGTGGAGCACCAGTGGTCCACAAGAACTAAAATATGGTCCATGGCCCCACCGTTCTTACACCGTTGCAATGAGAGCACAAAACACTCTTATAGTGCCGAGGGTTATTAAATATGATTTTCTGTGGGCGAGCAGATGGCGACTACTGGATGGCATATGTTCTGTATCAGAAACTACAGCTGATGTGGTTTATCCAATGAAATTTTCTGAATCAGTCACCCAGATAACCAAAATTGACCAAAAACTGATTGGTAACCCTTTTGGTATTAATGTTGGAGAGTGATCCCTAGTCAAAGTGGTCCCTGGTCAAAAATAAAAAAGGTTGGGAACCACTGCTATACACTGTAGGATTAATGCAGATTGATGCCACTTTTAAGTGCCATGGTCAATGGTATGGGATTCTGGGAGTTGTAGTTCGGTGAGGAACCATCTCTCCTTGGCAGAATAGGCCAAAGACCTTGTTGAACATTGTAGCATTGAGTCATGGCAGTTTAAGGGGTGTCAAACTGCATCCATTTTACATTGTAGATGCACCTTAAGAAAAAACTCGGGAAAGAACAGAATTTCCTATGGTGTAGAGACCAAGTTCCTAGTCTGCTCAGCTACTTGCCTCTACCTTATAGCACCGGAACTGTGGTGCAGCTGGCTGGGAGTCAGCTGCATTAAGATCAGTACTGATATAATGGTCATGAGTTCAAAGCCATCCCAGGTTGGAGTGAGCTTCCGACCAATTTGTGTAGCTTGCTGTCAACCTTTGCAGCCCGTAAGACAGTTGAATCTGTCAAGTAGGAAATTTAAGTACCGCTTATATGGGGAGGCTAATTTACGACACCATAAAAATCTCCAGCAAGCATGCAAAGAATGAGGAAGTTCTTCATCAGTGTCACAAATGGACGATGAAGCGACAGCTCCCCTGGTGGCCAGAACACCCTTATGAAAAAGCTGGAATGTTAAATAGCCTCTGTGTGTCTGTCTATATATTGAATGTTTGCCATGTATATGTACACTGTAATTCGCCCTGAATCCTCTACTGGGTGAGAAGGGAGGAATATAAATACTGTAAATAAATAATAAATAAATACATTCTTCAGTCTTGGAAGACAAACTTATTGCTCCTCCAAAAAAAGGGGGATTAAACAGAAAGGGATATTACACAGATTTGCATGGTTAAGTCTACTGACTTCAAAAAATCCCATGTTGCCTGGTTCCGAAATTGGAACTTCGGAAATTGCAAGGATGTGCATCCATTTGGGGCAAAATCCACTGCTGGGAGTAAAAGTCTATTGAGCTAAAAGCACCAAAGGTCAGGAAACCCTCCTGGGATGCCTCTTCCTTCTCCCAGACAGCCATATATGTCTGCTTCTGCATCATTGAGATAGGACAGAGGGAGCAGTATCTGCTATCTTCAGAAGGAGCATCTAAAAATAGACCCAGATAAATCAAGTGCAAAGCCCACCCAAACTTGGCAAAGACCAAAGATGGCTTCCAAGATCTCATTCGTAAATTGTAAATATGGAGAGGACGAAAGGTGTGTGTCGAGGAGGTGGAGAAATATCCCAATGACTGAGAACAAGGTGCCGGTGATCTCATTATCCTGCCTCTCGCACTTAGCAGGGACTTAGCAGTCTTATTTACCTTGACGCACAAACGTTTGGAGGAATTTCCCCCATGTAGGAAATCGTTTCTCATTGACAGCCCGGGCGTGCTGTGCTAAAAGGCCCGGCAGCTCCTGGGAGATCTTCGCCAAAGCTGGTTCCTGCAGAAACAAATTAAAGAGAACCACAAGCAATTTTACTGCAGAAATGAAAACAGCTTCTGGGGTGATTAAAAACCAGGCCTCCAACAGGCAGCGTGGTTACTGTTTAACCACAGCCAGAAAAGTCTTTTTTTATATGAAATCTGTCTCTTCCCTTTTTCCCTCTGAAGGTGTTTTCTTCCTCTCCCAAAATATATTTCTTTTCACCATTTCTCCCACTCCCCCCAACACCTTTGCTTCTTTTTTCTGCAGAGAACTCAAGGACAACACCGGCAACGAAAGGGGAAGGTGATGGATTACAGCCATCTGCCGTGAGTAACAATAACCTTAGCCAATCCTTTTTAGAAATCTTTGTAATCCTTTTAAGAAAGCCATTTAACTAGCTTCTTATTCAAAGATGTTTCTTCGGTTGGAGTTGGCGGCTTGTGACAAGTCTCCCGAATCCCCTTTGGACCAGTCTTCCCCAAATGCAAGAGACTCTACTTAGGCAGAAAAAAAGGAAATGCAAAGAGACAGAACGGGGGACGATGCCTGGCTCAACAGCAGGAGATGTGAAAAAGATCTTGGAGTCCTCGTGGGGAGGAAGGTGAACATGAGCCAGGAATGTGATGCGGTGGATAAAAAAGCCAATGAGATTTTGGCCTCCATAAATAGGAGTCTAGTGCCTAGATCCAGGGAAGTCATGCTACTTGTCTATTCTGCCTTGGTCAGACCACACATAGAATCATAGGGTTGGAAAAGGCCTCGTGGGCCATCTAGTCCAACCCCCTGCCAAGAAGCAGGAAAATCACATTTAAAGCACCCCTGACAGATGGCCATCCAGTCTCTGTTTAAAAGTCTCCCAAAAAAAAAAGCCTCCACCACACTCCAGGACAGAGAGTTCCACCACTGAACAGCTTTCTCAGTCAGAAAGGTCTATCTGGGATTTGCACTCGTTTTTAACTTTTTTATTCTGGAAATTCGCCCCCCCCCCCCGGTGGTGCAGCAGGTTAAACCACTGAGCTGCTGAACTTGCTGATCAAAAGGTAGGTGGTCCGAATCCAGGCAGCGGAGTGAGCTCCCGCTGTTAGCCCCAGCTTCTGCCAACCTAACAGTTCGAAAACATGCAAATGTGAGTAGATCAATGGCACCGCTTCTGCGGGAAGGTAACAGCATTCCATGCAGTCATGCTGGCCACATGACCTTGGAGGTATCTAAGGACAACGCCAGCTCTTCGACCTAGAATGGAGGTGAGCATCACCCCCCCTGAGTTGGACATGACTAGACTTGATGTCAGGGGAAACCTTTACCTTTACCAGCCTTGGCGCCCCACTCCCTTTACCATACCTCAATTCTTGGGTGAAAAGACAGGATGTAAATTAAATTATGATGACTATTTTGATTCAGCCCTTGGTTCATATACCAGGCCCCTCCAAATAACCCATCTGATTCTAGCTTAATCCCTTTGGATATGATTCTACATAGGTCAAAGTTATTGTTGGATAACCAAGACCAATAAGTAGTGGCCACTCTATGTTACAAAGGATAACCAAGCTTCTTTTCTCTAGTCCTTTCCTCCCAGAGAGTGATTTCCACAACACATCCAAGGAGTCCGTATTCCTGAGGAATATTGCTTTTACTATACCAGCATTACCAATCCCTTTCCCACAGTTTTCTTCTTCCCAGATGCTGAGCCAATGAATATAAAAGTGAATAAAGGAAACACAAGCAATGGCAGGGCTGTCCTCTATGATATAACCTGGCTACGTTAGATATGAACTACCAACAACTGAGAAAAACCAAGTTGCGTACAGGAAAACGGAAACAAAAACTCTTAATTGCAACTTCCTCGCCTCGCCTTGCCTCTGCTCTGCCAAAAAAGTCAAAAAGCTGAGCAAGCAGGAGAGGCCAAGGGACTTGCAAGTGTGGAGCTCCAGGTTGCTCTCTTGCTTGTGCTGCTTCATGATCACTTCTTCACCTCCCCGGGGCCTCTTTCCTTCTGCTTCACGACCCCTTGAAATTGGAAATGTCCCATGCTCCAAAAGAGGACCAATTGCCTGCGCCACACAACGGCTCGGCTGCTCTGTTCTTGCTCGGGAAGCGTCTCGCTCATTGCTCCTCTTTGGAAGGAAGGGCCATGTTCTCGGCCCGAAAGGGTCTGCTACGTTTGCCAAAAGCATTTGCAAACGATAGTTCCTCCATTATGTTTGACTACGGAAGGCCCCCCTATGCCAAGAGATACAATTGGCAACCATGATGGAAGACCCTTTGACAAGCTCTTGGACTTGTTCAACAGCCTATAAAGAACGAACACTGCAGAACAAGGAGGAATGCATTAGCAGGTGGCATAGATATTCCCATTTCATCACCGGCTGAAAAGTATCGGTTCGGAAAGAGGAAGGGAGAATGAATGGCTTGTACGTTTGTTCATGAATAACTAATTTGGGAACAAGTGGGAACTAATGATTTCCCATATGGGTGGAGAGGAGGATTGCTTGGTCCACAGAAATGCTCTCGCCATTGATTAATGCAAGCAAGACACTCAGCCTGCAGATCAATACCTCCCATTAAGTTGCTTTGGTCCAATTTTCATCGAACTGGATACGGCCTTTCCACCTACTCATTTTGGGGCTGGATCCCAATGCAGATGCTTGTCTCTAACAGGGAAGAAAGCAGATGCTGGCTTTCCAGGTTTGCAATCATTCCCTTGGCAGTTGCCAAATGAAGACCCTGTCTTGTTTGAAAAGCTGATCGAAGATAGTGCCATGGTGTGGAAGTTATGAACTTCAGACAAGGAGGTGTGAGTTGGAGTTTACCTTCAGCCACACTGGTCAACAAACAGCCAAAAAGTCAAGCCTGTTTCACGAAATCATAGAATCATAGAGGTAGAGGAGGCCACATGGGCCATCCAGTCCAAGTGGTGTCAAACCACATTAACTCCACAGTGTAGATCAGCATTGCTCAACCTGGGATTGTGCTACATGCACAATGGAGGACCTTCTTATAGTAACACCAGTGGCACTCCAAGTGGCCAGTGACTGGTTAAAGGACATTTAATCAACTACCAAGCTTGCAAACTTTGTGTTTTGTTTGTTTGTTTGTTTGTTAAAAAGTGCAATACAACTGTTTGGCTTGCTCCTGACATGATAAATAAATAAACAAACTTGGGGGTCAGAACCCCTAGGGGTTTGCAAAGGGGTGTCAGAGGGGTCACCAAAGACCATCAGGAAACAGTATTTTCTGTTAGTCATGGGAGTTCTGTGTGGAAAGTTTTGCCCAATTCTATCGTTGGTAGGGTTTAGAATGCTCTTTGATTGGAGGTGAACTATAAATCCCAGCAAGTACAATTCCCAAATGTCAAGGTCTATTTTCCCCAAACTCCATCTGTGTTCATATTTGAGCATATTGAATATTCGTGCCAAGTTTGATCCAGATCTATCATTGTTTGAGTCCACAGTGCTCTCTGGATGCAAGCGAACTACAACTCCAAAACTCAAGGCCAATGTCCATCAAAGCCTTCCAGTATTTTCTGTTGGTCATGGGAGTTCTGTGTACCAAGTTTGGTTCAGTTCCATCATTGGTGGAATTCAGGATGCTCATTGATTGTAGGTGAACTCTAAATCCCAGCAACTACAATTCCCAAATGACAAAATCAATCCCCACCCCACCAGTATTGAAATTTGGGTGTATCGGGTATTTGTGCCAAATTTGATCCAGTGAATGAAATACATCCTGCATATCAGATATTTATATTTCAATTCATAACAGTAGAAAAATTATAGTTACGAAGTAGCAACAAAAATAATGTTATGGTTGGGGTCAGCACAACATGAGAAACTGTGTTAAGTGGTCGTGGCATTAGGAAGGTTGAGAACCACTGGTGTAGATGCATCCCAAGTCTCAACTGTCAGAGAGAGGGAAAGAGAAAGTTTTACAAGGTGGATAGATAAAGGTTTCCCTTGACATTAAGTCTAGTCATATATGACTCTGGGGGGGTGGGGGGTGCTCTTCTCCCTTTCTAATCTGAAGAGCCAGAGTTGCCCATAGAAGCCTCCTAGGTCATGTGGCCAGCATGACTGCATGTAGCACCATTACCTTCCTGCAGAGGCGGTACCTACTGATCTGCTCATATTTGCATGTTTTTGAACTGCTGGGCTGGCAGAAGCTGGGGCTAACAACGGGAGCTCACTCTACTCCCCGGATTTGAACCACCAACCTTTTGGTCAGCAAGTTCAGCAGCTCAGTCGTTCAACTTGCTATGCCTCTATGGCACTGGATGGCCCATGTGGTCTCTTCTACCTTTATGATTCTATGATTCCTTATTTCTGGATCTTTTTCATTGTTTAAAGTCCTTTCCAGAAAGTGAAACAAGCAAACAACCAATTGCCAAATATTGTCAAAATAAAGACAAATACTCTTGGATTCAGCCACTGCGTTTACAAAAAGGCTTATCAAAACTTATGAGGCAGTCTAAAAGGCAACCACGTATCTCTTTCACACACAGAGGTTCACAAGTCTGTCTGAGCTCATTCTTTTTTCCCATTCTTTTTTCCCATTCTTTTCGGTTTGTTTGTTTCTCTCTGGCACCGCAATCTGTGCAAAAGAACGACAACCAAATTTTCCTGTGAATGTTTTTTTGGGGAGCGATCAATCGCCTCCTGCCCCACTTACTTAGAATTCAAAGCGCCACTTTCGAGGGCTGCGATGCTCGAGTGTGCCACTGCAAATTTTAAAATTAAAAAGTCCCAATTCTGCCTTTTTGTGAGAGGCATTCTTTCGGAAGGTAACATCATGTAAAGCAGCTGCCATTATCCAAGTCACGCAAATGGTTTCTGTATGTAAAATGGTTTTGTAAAATATTTGCTCCATCTGCTAAAAGTAGCGCAAGACAATCTTCCCCCGGTACCTAATGGGCCATTTCGGCTGCATGGCAAGCGATGCGCCTTGCGTTATGGAGAGCAGCGGCGACACAGTACCCAATTCTCCGCTTAGGAGGCATTATCATCTCCTCCCGGCTTTTT